ATCTAACTCATTATGTTAAAAAAAAAAAAATAGTTGTATCTCAAAAGTAATAAGAATAATGCATAAAAAATAGGAACTGTTTTGTAAATCAATTTTAATGCATAAACTCACTCATACATTAATCCGTATAAAAAATCAGATGTAAATATGATTTTTTTTTCCTTTAAAAAAACAGAAACAAGATAATATAATCATCTATACTTTTCTCTTACTTATTTTATATTTTTTTATCTTTTTCATATATTCAACATTTTATTTCAATATATTATTATCTTTTTCTCATTCTTTACTTCTTCTTATTTTTTTAATCTATTTAATTAATTAATTTATTTTCTTCTTATTTTTTTAATCTATTTAATTTATTTATTTATTTTTATCATGATGAACATAAAATTAATTTTTTTCTTTATTTTTATTTAAATTTTTAATTTTAATAATATTTAATATTTTTTTATTTTTAATTTATTTATATTAAATTTTATTATATTATATTTTCTAACTTTTTATTATTTTTATTTATCATATATCAAATTTTATTTTTGTTAAATAAATATGTTAAATGATTAAAGATGAACTATTAGAATTGTTATTACTTTTTACTAATTAAATAAAAATTAATTTATTAAATATTTTTTTAGAAATATATATTTCATATTTATTAATATTTATTTGATTAAAATGTTATAATTATTCTATATTCATATAAAAAAGTTCTTTTATACACGTATTTTAATATATATATATATATATAATAAATTAAAATATATATTTAATTAATAATAATAAATAAAAACAAGTAAAGTTATAAATATTTATTTGTGAATAAAAAATTATAAAAAAATATTAAAATTAATTAACTATAAATATAATATTTTGTTTAAAAATAACATTAAAACGTAAGAAAAAACAAAACAAAACTTTTAATACGAACGAAAGATCAGGAACTGTGACAATAATAAGAATGGTCAAGAAAATGAAGAAGAGAATCACATAGAATTATGTCATTTTTATTAGACAACAAATTTAGCATCCTCCCTTATAGACATTCTAGTAGAAACGTGTGTATTTTTTCATTTTTCATCTTTTATTGAATATGATAACATATATCAAAATGTCAAATTTAATTGTACACATAAAAAATATTCTTTTAAATAATAAAAAATCATTTTATTATCCTTACTCTTGAATAAAAAATAATATTTAATTATTATTAATCGAAAAAATGACCATCATATACGCGTAAAAAAAAAAATCCCAATCTGTAATTTTTTTTTTACGAATATAACTCTTCCTTCATAACTAATTAATTAATTACAAATGTATAATTAAAAAAAAAAGTCATAAGTACTTTGTTATATTAAATAAATAAAAACTCAAATAAGAAATACAAAAAATATCCTGTCGTATTTTCATCCTTATATATATATAAAAAGAAAGGCTCTCTCAATGTTTAAGAAGAATCAGAGTTAGAATGTGTTCTCTTTATTTACTATCCCTTTTCCAATTACGTTATTATCCTTTGAGATCTTCATAAAATCAATTAACACCTTAGTGTGAACATTTGAACCCCATCTTCATCAAACTTATGACTCATTTTCTGTTAATGCTTAATTGTGATGGGTTGTAATACGAGAGAAAAGTAAGACAATAAAACTAATGAAATAGAGTTGAGAGAAAGTTATGCAAATGATGGCATGGAGGAGATTATTTATACACAATGGGTGGTATCATATTTCGATTAATAAATAAGAAGAAAATGTCACATCTTATTATTATTATTATTATTCCAATCATGCTAATTACTTGAATATAAGTTTTAAGAGAATATATGTAATAAAATCTTGGTTCTTTATTTTCCAAAAATATCCACCATTTTATTATTAAAGAAATATTTATAAACTTTTATTCATATAACACTTAACTATTCTGTAATAATATAGTAATAAAAATATAATATAAAGAAATTATTATTATTTAAAAATAAATACCAAGTAATTATTTTTCAATTGAAAAAGTTTTTGACAAGGTATAATTTTCTCTTACCAATTTTTTTAGACTGGTACAAGATATGTATTGCACATAACGTGGTTGGAACCATATATTTTGATTTACTATTTTAACTATTTTATTTCCTTTTCAAAGTGGTGCATACAACAATTGATATTGAAAAAGGAATTACTTATAAAGTTGACATTTTTATTCATGTTTATAAATGATAATGATTAAAACTTTGAAGAAGTCTTGCAAGACCACGTTTATGTTCGTTTATCTACATTTTGATGCGTACAAAACTCTCTCTTGCCGTAGATACAAGAGAATATTTTCTCTTGAAAATTCAATCAATAATATAATCAAGTAATTCAATCAACACAAAATTCCATATTTAAATAATAAGAAATTAACACTGTTATGTAATTAACATTATCTAAATCACGCTCTTTGATATTTGAGTATAGTTATTAAGGAAATAAATGCATTAGTAAAATCGATAAAATACATTTTTATTTTTATTTTATATTTTCATTAGTTATATTTATCCAAATTAGCTTGTATTTATTGTTTCCAAAGGTTGGAGTCATCGTTTAATTTCCCTTGCAACTTTTGATATTCTCATGTACTCTTCCTTTATTTAAAATAATATTTAAAATAAATTTATTAAATACATTTTATCTTTTTTTAAATAATATTTTTATAATAAAAATATAAAAAAAAAACTTAAATCAACCATAGATTTAATTTGTATTTGTATTTTTTGAAACAAAAATCCAAAGTGAAATTGACACTAAATAAATAAATTATTATCATAATACCAAACGGATCCTAAAAGATATATGGACAGTGACTGACAGGAGGTCCTTAACAGAAATTTTCTTGCATATTAGCTATAAAAAGTTTTTCTTTATTAGACAAATTAGTGACTTCATCAGTAACCCTCTTAACAAGCAACCCTTAGCAAAAAAAAAAAAAAAATCACATCCTAATTAACATTGTAACATTTCTGTCATTCTTCTCCCTCCATACTAGCAACTTTCTTCAATTCTTTTTTCACCATGATTAAAATCTTCTCTTGTCCTAAATCTCACACTCTCAAATACATCCTACATTCCTCGGAATATCCACCCCAAATCCACTAAAATGTTAGTCAAGGAAAAAAAAGTCAGAAACTTCTCACACTCAATTGAATAAATCAAAATTCAACAACGACCCTACCAACCAGTAAAGGGAGAATGAAGAAAGCCCCTATTGGAATTGAAGAAGACAGCGAAATTGAAAGCTGAAAATGAAAATGGAAAAGGGAAAGCAGGTCCAAGCGTGAGAGAAATGGATCAAGGATTAGAAAGAAAGAGTGAGATAGACAGTCATAATGACGCATTAAATGAAAGTGAAAGCTGAAACTAAGGCTAAGGAGGTTGAGGCAGCTGATGCGGCCAAAAGAAGTGCCAGAGCTACAACACTTTTTTTACTTCCATCCAAGTTGTCTGGAAGCAAGGAGATGTATTCAGAATCAAAATCAAGGATGATACTCAAGCTCTCAATAAACAGAGCTCTGATAACACCACTTTGCAATTTCTTGGTGCTTAGTAGTGGAGTTTCTATTCTCCTTCTTTAAAGTTGAAGACCCTGTACTTCAGCAACAAGATCAACTATTGGAACCAATTGTGACATGCTTTATTTCTAAAATGGAATACTGTTTCTGTAGGATATGAAGGATTTCATTAAATTGTAAGTAATATAAATGGAATAGTATTTCTATGAGAATCAAGATGAATTGAAGATACAACTGTAGAGAGAGAAGAATTAAAGCCAGAAACGTCACAAACAATGCCAACTAGCAATTACAAAACTTACCAACTGGACACTTAACTATGAATGTGACCTTCTGCTAATAGAATTTGTGGCGAAATAAATAACATGTCCAACGAAAAAACAAAAATTAGGACTAACGTGCAAATTCTTTTCTATCAGAGACCAACCAGTCACTGTCCATATCTTTTAGAGACGGTTTGATACTTAACTTTTGTCCTAATGTACTTGCTTGGATTAATTTATTTGAAAAGTAATGGTTTATATCCTTTCTAAAGATTTCTTTTGAAATTAATTCTCTCATCAATAATGTCAACTAAATAACAACTCCAACTTGTTCATCCAACAAATAAAACTATATGGGGCTTGAATTTCATAATTATACTACTTATTTGAGCAAAGGATCATACCCTAGAAGCAAAAAATTTACATCAACGGACACAAATAGTATCTTAACAGAGCATAAGAAAATCCATAAGACATGAACAATGCAGCCGTAAATGCTCGAGGTTATTTCGTACAACTATATAAATAGTTAGTTATCTTTTACATCACATAATTTTATTCCACATCTCTTGCTGCAAATATGTCGTCTCAAGTACCATATCAAGTACCACTTTCAGACTAAGAGCTCTCTTTCTCATACACTTCATTGGCATATTTCCAATTAATAACTTTCCAAATGTTCTTCAGATAGTCTGGTCTAACATTCTTGTACTGCAGTATGAAAAACAAGAATACATGAGAAATTATTTTGACGATGGATATGCATATGGGAATCTCGGAAAGAGTGTTTCCCTTTCTTCTTGATTGCCAAATCATAGCACGATATGAGTTTCAACATATTGTAAGTGACTAAAAATTAATTTATTTCCGGATATGAGTTTCAACATATTGTAAGTGACGAAAAATTAATTTATTTCTGAACTTGTGAGTACGTGAATATTCTATTGTAAGGTTGGAGTGGCTGAGTGAATTCCAATTTCTAACCGACATAGAGGAAGAAAAATAAATATTCCATTGTAAGTTAAGCTGTTGTTCTACTTCCTCACTAAAAACAAAACAAAAATGGCTTTGTTACATTTATACATTTTTTTAATATTTATTTAAATATTTATACATGTTTTCCTCTGCTAATTTATACAAATTAATGATTCATTACACCTTTACATCTCTGTCAATTATTGGACGGCATTTTAGACATTTGAAAACTAAGAGGACTTTGCTTCAAAAAAATAAACAAACTGAGGACTAAATATGAACAATTACATCAGGTAGAACACAGGGACTAAAAGTGTACTAAGCTTTTCAATTCCAAAACCTAGCTCAAGAAGGGGGGAGGATTGCCCAATTCTTATAAGGACTATTTTGGCCTTATCCCACATCAATGTGAGAGATCTTAACAGGAAGCTAACGTAAACTTCTGAAATTTTGGAGAACATCAAGACATCATTTCCTAATTGTATCTATTATTAGTTTATGATCATGCAAAGTTCAGAAACAATATCTAAATCACATTTGGATTCACTAAAACTAATAAGTAATATCAACTATCAAAATGCAAACAAATATAAAATCTCTAGAAAAATGTTTGAAGGTCAAATTTCAGGATGAAATAAGTCAAATTACCATCCATGATGGGAAACTGTTAGGATGAAACAAGCTCTAAAGAAAGTGTTTCAAAATTGAGATAAAAATAGTTCAATTTTATTTTAACTGAACAGATCTTATTATGAAATTAACATTTGGAAATCAAATTTTGCAACCACCTAAACAGACCCTAAATTTGACAGCCCAATATTTCTTTGCATCTCATAAGTCATAACCACCACACTTAAAATATGCAGAGGTTTCAAATAACATTATTACAGCAACCACACTGTCACCAGTGGATCACCAAGTCAAAATTTTACCTGTAAGTAGTACGCGTGCTCCCAAACATCAATACCAAGCAACGGAACCAAGCTTGGTCCCTTAGTAACCAGTGGGTCCTGCAAATAAAATATTCAAAATTACACCCGAAAAACAACTGACCAGAAGAATTGTATGCACAGAGCATAAACATGGTTCATTAAAGCTAAAAAAATGAGTAAGAGGATTAAGAAAAGACGAAACACCTTAACTAGTTCCTTCTTTTTTCTATAGTTTTCATTATAGAAATCTTTCTATATCCTGAACACTATAAACATTTGAAGAAGTCCTCCACATTCCAACAATGTCGCTCAATTTTAATTGGGTCCCTACAATTTTTTAATTAAATTTAGAATTGAGTGCTGGCTATTTTAAAAGTTTTAAGCAAGTCCCTGTAATCATCAATTGCTATAACTTCATTAAAGCTGAACAGATATTACTGAAACTTCTCTTACCAGATCAATAAAAAAAAAAGGAACACAGGCCAAATAGCTTCTACCAGATCAAAAAGTCAACCATCGATTCAGATGCAGCAAGATTAAATAGAGCTAGAGGGAAAAGGTTCCCCTGAGGTCTGTTGGTGTTTTAGTGGTTGGGTCTAGACTAATAAAATGAGAGCAGCAGTTGAATAGCCAGATCAGAAAAGCATAAAATGGAAGACAAAGAGAATCAAGAGTTTAGAGATATGAAGTGGAGAAAAACTGATAAGATATGGTGGCAGGTGGCCACAGGTCCTCCCATAAGCAAAAAGTAAATGAGAACTTGAGAGGTTACTCAGTCTCAGTAATGATACAGAGAAAATGAACATCAAAATGTGATTAGAAAAGGCATGGAACGACAAATAAACACTGTTGGTGTACACAGGTCCAAATATTTTGATATGCATACAGGACACTTTATTTTTGCCCACCAGGCAAGATGTTCTTTAGCTAGAGCTATAAGAATGAATTTATGATTTATGTAAGGACTTGACTATAGAATAAACCAGGGTGAAGCAATCCATAGTTGACTGTGGAATCTCATTTGATTTAAGATAAGGAATATAGGCTATTCAAAATAGTAATATCCAGTAAAAGATCTTGAATGGTGTGACGACTTACAAGAGATACAACAGAAATACAAAAAGGCAGAATTTGTGGGCAAACAAAAATACTACTTTCATTTACTTTTTTTAAATATGCTACTGCTGATCTATTTAGCCTCATTATGATGTATATAATGAGGAAGGGTGTTGAAGGTTACCTGGTTAGCGGTGGTTTCAACAACAAGCCTCTTCAACTCTTTGTCCAGACCAAGCCACTGGCAAAGCAGTACAAAATAAGTACGAGGAAACAGGGCATTTCAAATAATGACCAATAAATTAAGCTTATGCAAGGAAAGAAAATATTCTGGGAATATCAGAATGTGCACCACTCACCACCCATCCAGACCCCTGCAGTGCTGCACCTTCTGCATTAACCTTTTGTATCAATGCTTCAAAAGAGCCAAAATGAGTGTCAATAGCCCATCCCAGTGAACCCTTGGGTGGCTCGCCACCTCCTTCCTGCAGAAGGGGTGAAGTATTATTAGGAAAAAAACCACCAAAGACAAAATACTTCCCAAAAAACTGGATCAAGGTACAAACTTACACGAACAGGAGCTAGATTTTTCCAGAAAATAGAATGGTTGATATGTCCTGCAGCAAATAATCCTTAGTTGTACACGAACAAAATTAAATAATAACGTTAAAAACAACGGAAGATATATCCCTGTTACATCACTAAAAAGTTTGTTTGGTTCATTTTAAAACCAGGCATAAACTTTCACAAAGAGTAAAAGATGAAAAACACAAACAACAACTCCAGATTACACTGCAGTTATGCAACCACTGGTCATTCTCATCAACGCAATCCATGTTGGTGCAGACACTGGACACTAACTACCCTCTTCAATTTCAAAGCAAAATAACAACAACAAAATTGGCTAAGACATAATAGTACTCAAAGATCCATGTTACACAAGTACAGCATTTGGATACCATAAAAAATTTTGTTCATTTGTGCACGATACAAACGGAATGGCCATCACTTTAAGCATCTGTGCATCATATAATACAACATAATACCCTCACAAATAACTACCAGAATCACAGCAATGTATAAAGCAAATGCCCAATCGTCAGCTTCTATTTTACACCTCATTTATTACATCAACAAAGGCCAATTAATCATCACCCACAACAATCTAAATAATCCACTTTCACTTATTCACGAATCGATTTAATTCAATCAACAAATCACGCAGTCGCCGTAATTTAACATTCAATAAACCAAAATTAAAAGAAGAAAAACGAAAAAAGAAAGACAAAAAGGGAAGCAGACCTCCGCCATTGAACTTGATGGCGGCCTGGAGCTTAACGCTGGCAGGGGAATCGGCCTTGGCGACGGCATCTTGGAGCTGCTCGAGGGCCTTGTTGTAGTTGGTGATGTAAGTCTGATGGTGCTTCTGATGGTGGAGCTGCATGATTTCGCCGTTAATGGCTGGCTCCAGCGCGCCATAGTCGTAGTCCAGATCAGGTAGCGTGTAGACATGCAAGCCGCGGGAATGAGTAGCCGCAGCTATGCCAACTCCGAGAGGCTTGGCGTCGTTGCGAAGCACCGAGGCTAGGGTTTTTCTGGTCAATAGGGCTCGCGCAGCCATCGTGAAAGATGTGGAGACGCTTCTGCAACACCGCTAGAGTGGAGAGTGGTATAGAGTCTCCAGTGGACTGTGGATGGATTTATAAATGAAATATTTTGTCGCCAATGCTAGTAATAGTTTCTTTCTGTTAAACAATATGCATATTAAAATAGTATATATTTTGTTTAAAGAAAATTATAATACGAGTGTGATGATAATGTTTCCTTAGATTTATAAATTAATTTATCACGTACGATGACTTATAATTGAAACTTTATTCAGAAAACACGTCACTAGTACAATTAATCACTTAATAATTGATCAGGATGGTCTTACAATCACCTTCAACCGAAACCAATTATGCCAATGCCCTCTTTCAAAAATAAATAATGTCATAGGTTCTCTCATAGGATTGTTGTAAAAAGTTATTAAGAAATAAAAACATTATTTTATTAAAGATCCTAGATTTATGAATTGTATAAAATTAAAGAGATTTTTTTAATTTTAAACATATATATATATATATATATATATATATATATATATATATATATATATATATATATATAGTAGTTATTGCAATATTTAAAGGAGTAAATATATATAAAAGTTAGAATCATGTTATTTTCACTTCTTATCCCCTCCTCTTGGCTATGCTTAAGTTCTGTTGTGGTGGTGGTAACCCTCCAAAAAAAACCTTCTTGAGGTATCATGATTTGCCCCATTTATAAATAAAATTTGATTGACAAAACAAACGAATTTGATAATTCGTTAGTTTCTATCAATAGCTATTTATAGATTACCTTATGTGAATGAGAAAATAAAAAATAAATTAAAATGAAGTTTTTCAAAAAATGTAATTAACTTTTTTATGAATTTCTTCCCATAGAATGAATAGGTAAAAAGTGGCAGTTCTATAGCATTGTAGCATTTGGATTATGAATTCTATATCCAAGGCTTCCATTTGGCGCTGCAATCAGGAGTGATCTCAGAGAAAGGTTGCGTCGGTAAAAAGGATCCCTCAAACTCCCACCAAAACTACATTTAGTGAGCCCTCATCGAGGTTCTATGACATTGAGTCAGTGTTTCACAAAGTGCGATCTCACAGAAAGATTCCAACAGCAAAATAGACCCAGAGATTTGATGAGCCTTCATCAGGGTTCTATTCTATGTCAGTATTTTACATAGAGGTGAAAGTATTTCTTTAGATTTATATGCTATGGACTTGTTTATCCAAATATCCAAATATACCTTCGCAGTGGATGTTCCTACTCCTAGACTCTAATTATTGTACTTGCTTTTTCTTTCTTCCTTTCTAATTAGATGCTTCTTCATTTCGTTTACTCGTAACCATGTCTGCCGCTCGCTTTAATTGAAGTAGACAACAGCAGAGGCAAATTCAACGGCGAAACAAGAATATTTTTTATTGGTACAATCCTTAAAACAACCATAAGTTTCAATATATATTACAATACTCACACGAGTAAACTTTAAGCCAAGAACAATATAATGTGGTTGTCCTGCTTCAAATAAGTTAAGTTTAAGAAAAATAAAAGAAAAGAAAACAATAAAGACTGGAGGAAATTACTATTTTTAGTACATCAATGCAATCAGGACAAAACTAAAACACACAAGCAAAGCTGAGAATAAAAGAAAAATAATAAACCGGTAGGTCTTTATATGTTATTCAGGCAAGAAAAAAGTTTGAATATCTATATGAAATTATAATGTGACATGATGTGAAAACATCACCACCAGGAATGTATGCTACTATAAGGCATATTTGTTGGCCATTAGAATTACGACATGACCATGTACTTGTTCCCCTCCCTAATGTTGTTGGTCGGCAAACGATTCTGAAAATATTAGACTATAGCTACTGAGAAAAATGACAGGGACTTCCACTTCCTAATTCCAAATGGATTATGGGTGTTAACCCTCTATAAGGACTATATAACTGTTCTTGACAATGCTATAACAAAGCCCATTAAACATACTAGTCTTTGTTCTTGCTCCATACAGGGGACAATTGTCTCTGTCCAACTGTATCACTCACAACTGCACTTCCATTTTCCACATTGATCAGAGGATCAGACTCAGCCTCTCTTGCCTGAAAACGTTAAGAAACAGTGACAGAATGTACTTCTAGTAAATAATTGTGACAATGCAAAAACACATGCAAAGTTAGCCAGTTACAACAAACCTGGGATGCTTGTGATGAAGCTTCAACAGCTTTTTGCTGGTTCTCAAGTGTGCAATAGTAAGAATATAGAATCATTCCCATCATGGCTATCATGATACCCAGTATGTTTCTCCAGCTAAATGGGTCTTGGAGAAGTATATAACCAAATGCCAAGACAAGGCATGTCTTCAGGTGTCCAAGAACCTGATAGGTGACAGGAGATGTCTTTCCAATAACAAGAAATGTACTAAAATTGACCGATATGGAGATAAGGCAGGAAAGAATTATGAAAACCTGCAATCCAAGAAGAAGCACTTGATGTCACGGCAAAAAACAATGAGTGGGAACTTGGGAAGACTTGTTTAATAATTTAACTCTTACCGTCACTTGTGTTGTATACTTGAAACCAAATACATTTTGGCTGGTTAAAAGCTTATCCAGATATGGACCGGAGATTAACAGGGTTGCTGCTTGATATGGACATGATTGATACAGAAGCTGGGTGGAAGAAACCTTGAACTTCTTTTGGATAGTATTGGTCATCTAAAAGCAACTAATTAAGGACAAGACACCAAATAAAAAAAATGATAGCCCAGGAAAAAAAAGCCAGACAACCATCTGTGTAAAGCTTTCAAGTTTCAAGTGCAACAAAAACTTATATTTGCTCCTAACTATCTTCAAATAACATAAATGACATTCTCTAGATATAGAAAATGAACTTGTCCAAAGCCAAGCAAAAGGTGAAAGTGGGGCCTCCAGGCCAAAATGAGGATTCGCATGTAAAGCCTTGCACAATTTAAACAAGAAACCAAATAAAAAGACAAAGTTAGCTGTGATTAGTTCTTCAACCACCTCATGTACCTTGGGAGCAGAAGATAATTGCTTCAGGTGACAAATGCAATCACAGCATTTCTTTCACGATTAATTCATTAGCAGCATAATCGAGAAACTTTTCAATATGATTAACAAATAGTGCATATAATTATATAAGTCAAAGTCAAACAGGTTCAATAATAGGTACCCAGTATATATTCTTCTATTTAATCTAACACAACTAATCTGACAGTATTGCAAAACAATTTGGGTTAATGAAGATGAAATTATTTTAAGGATACAATCTGAGCAACACATGTTGTAATCACTGCAAGAAAAGATAAGAAAGAGCCAAGAGCATTGAGCTGCAAATCTGTGACAGTAGCAATCCCGACACCTAGAAGGAGGATACTAAGGGCAAATTGAATTCTCTTACTGCAATAACAATGAAAAGAGAATAATGAATATTATTTATGGAAAAAATACTAAAGGAAGGTTAAAGCTCAGACAGGTAAATGTGCTTAACAATTAGACACAAACATACTTCAGGTCAGAACAATGGGTGAGTGTTTTGTGTGTTTGAGTGTGAGTGTGAGCGTGTGCGTACTCACATGTGTGTGAGAGAGAGAGACAACAAATAAGACACGACAAAAAGGCAGGTGAAGGAATCAATTCTCTCATTGACAATTACACAATTATCATTTTGAATATATATGACAACCAAATATAAAAGTCATAGTATTGATAAGATGCTAAATGGAACCTGAATCTCTTCCCAAGAAAAAGGGTCTCCAACAGTACAGTACAAGGAATGATGGCCAGCTTAGTCATCTGAAAAAGAATATAACAGAGATGTTCAGACTCAACAACAAATGTGGAAAACAGAACCATAAGAGACCTACCTGATAGAAGCCAACAGAATTAAACCCCAGGCTCAAATTTAAGAGTCCAATGGAGATCCCATTTAAAACCCCAAATCCCATTACAGCTTTCTGCTCAAAAGGTTTGTGCTCAAAGAATCTCATTTTGAGAGCCACATGAAGGGAACAAAATGTGACAAGCAGATGCCAGCTGGTCAAAGTAGTAGCTGCATATCAAAAGGGACAATTTTCAAAAACATGTAAATCTCAAACAATACATTGAAATGTAAACATCACAGCATGAAAATAACCTAAACCATCATCATACACCAAAGTTCAGAGGAGATAAATTTACCTTCTTTGGCAATAGGACTGAAAACAGGTAACGAAAAACACATAATGATTATAATCTTTTACCAGACGGCTTATATACTATTCACATTACTCAGCAGTCGTATAGATTGTAGAAAAGAAGTAAAAAGAACAAAATACTATCGTGGTAACGCCTAGCGAATACGACAACAATAGATACGTCCAAAGTGGCAATTTTTAATTTAGAAAAGGAAGGGATATCAACAATCCAACAGATCATATCAATTCCCACAAGTAGTATCTAGGAAGCTAAATTCTAAACATAAATGCAAAGCGACAAATTGTAAAATTCGACAAATCCAATCTCCATCTAACACTTCTAGTTTCACTAAGGGCTTGGGCAGTTGAGTTGGTGGAAAATGATTGTCAACCAAGAGTGAAAATGAAACACATTTCCTTTCCACCTTCTCATATTGAAACAAGCAAGTATGGTGTAATTTTCATTCCAAAACTTCTGCCTAAATAACCAACCAAACACACCCTAGATGTATACATAGCCTAGATCGCTGGCACAATACATCACAAGGAGTAGTAGCAAGTACAATGGATCAACTTCCAAGTTCCAACAAAAGTAGCAAGAGGGAGGGAAGGGTTAATATTATGAATCTTCAATTGTAATAGCACGAATGAAACCACACAAACACTGATAGAACGAGTAGGTTAGTAAAGGAAGAAATGAAACACACAAAATGCAAATAAGTGAAGAAAATAGAAAACAAAACAAGGGTATAAGCTTGCAACAATCCTAAGATAGAAGTTAAGTTACCAAAAATGAAATGCAATGTACTCATCAGCGCCTTATTGCAAATCACAATGGACACAGATGAGACCACAGAAAGAGTCAACGCGCCCACAGTCCCCAGCTGGAAACGCTCTCCCTCACCCATCTTCGTCTTTGCTCCAAAACCTGAAAAACCAAATTAATCCTAAACAAAAAGAAGCAACCCCAATTTCGAAATATCAACCCGAAGATAAATCAGACAACACACAAATTATATATCAACAAAAAGAAGAAGACATTGAAACGGCAGAATCAGCCATACCCAGAGGACAAAAACGACAACTTTACCCACCAACAAGCGGATAGAGGAAGTTAGGGAGAGAATTGACTGAATTGAGCAACAGGGGTTTGCGATTTGGGAGAGATTTAGATCGATTCAGTGGTTTAGGGTAGAAAGAGAGTGAGTGGTGAGGTAAGCACGAAAGGAAGGTGAGACGGAAAAAGGTAGCAAACTAAGAAACTGAGGATGGGAAAGATGGTGATTGGTGCTGAATGGAATGCCTGGTATTGTTTATGAAATGTGCAGAGTGGTGGTGAGTGAGGAAGCAATGGAGATTTGGTAGTAAAAAGACTTAAAACACAAACGAAAAAAATTAATTCATGGGTTTGGTAATCAGCATACAATTACTGGCCTCAGATCCGTCGTCAAACCAGACTTTGCTTTCAAGAGAAATGTTAGGGGTAGGGACATACCTCTGACACTTCTTTCAACAAAATTTAATGTTATTATTCTTATGAGTTAATTAATTAACAATGATAAAATTAATTATTTCTGCAATGACTAATTAATGATAAAATTAATATCTGTTTCAAAAGTTATAATTTAAATATTCTTTTTCAGATCAAAGTGTAAATTATTTTAATATATTATTTAAAAATTATTATTCTAAAAGTTATAATTAGAATATTTTTATCTCTGCACCAAAAAATGTTTTTTTTTAATTGATAGTGCATTTTCTTTTCTCTCTGTAATAAAACTCAATTCTTAACGTTAAATCATAAATAGTTTTAGAACTTGGTCAAAATAAATTTTTTAAGATTTTCATTCAAGTATGGAATTTTATTTAATTGATACTTAATTTTTTTAATAATTATTTTAAAACTATATGAAATAATTTTAAAAATTAATCAACAAGGTCAAATTTCAAATTTACAGTTTATTAAAATTAAAACCCGAAATCAATTAGCTGTTTGATGAATATTATTGATATTTATTGTTTTTTAAAAAATTACTTTTTTTACGGGAATTAATTACAAATAATTAAAAATATCATTTTAAATGAGTATATTTAAAAATAAGTTGTTAGTTATTAAACTTTAAAATAATTATATGAGAATAAAGTTTATATGTTAACTTATCATAGAAATAAAAAAAAATGATTTATTTATTAGAGTCATAGAATTGTTTTTTGAAGAATAAATTTGTATTGCTTATAATATTTTTTAAAAGTATATAAAGTTAAATATTATAACGCGTTCATTGCTTCATTTTTCCAAATGATGACATTAAATATGGTAAAAAAAAGGAACATGTATAATAAAATAAGGTCATTACAAAATGTTGAAATATGTAATTTTTACTTGTGTATAATATATATTGAATTACCCATAATTTTTGTTTTTTCATGGACTTTTTCAAGACTTACTTCTTCACAAGAAGCTTTAAATTTGTAATACCAGAAAAAACATTACTCAGCAAATATTTAGAAATTTTATTTTTTATAAAGAGAAAATTCTTTTATTTTCAAAACTTGTTAATTAGATTTTAGTAATAATTTTTATTTCTGAAAACTAAAAATATATTTTACACTCCATTTATCATATCAACTATTTTTTAAACAAATTTCTAATCAAAACCAAATTTGACATATTTAAATTTCGCCAGAACAAAAACGAATGAAATTTTTTTCAGAGACTAAAACCAAAATATCGATATTTTAGAGAAGCAAAGTCATATTTTACCTTTTTTTTCTGATTATACTTGATCCATTTGTTTCATTCTTTATTGCCAATCCAAAACAGAACCATAAGAAAACGATAAAAGATTAACAAGTTCATGCTGATTTTAAAATTAAAAGGGAGATTTTATTCTATACTAGAGTAATGGTAAACTACTCCATCTAAGAAGATAGCACAAAATTGGTTAACATCTCTTCTTCCAATTGTTTGTTCCTATGAAATTCGAGGCTATCACTAGCAACCAATTCAAGTTTCTCCCAAATTTACATCTGTAAAGATAAAAGAAAAAGAAGGAAAAGTTGGCTATTATTTTCCACTTATTCGGTCAGAACATGACCACCATCAACAAAGCCACAGATTAGAACTCTGTTTTTGTATATCCTATAAAATATCTATGTTAACATGGTCAATCCTTTTTCTCATTGCTTTCGGCATATTCCTCTTTACTTTCCTTTGTCACCTTCGGAACTACAACTACAGGTTTTTGAGATAATGAAACACCCTTTTCTTTCTTATCCCTTGTCATCAAACTTGGTTCTGTCAGTGATTGAGGTTTCTTCAAAGTTCCAAACTCAATACTGTTCCATTTAGATTCTTTAAGGGATGGGGAACTCTTGGCTTGCTTAGTTAACTGAGCAGACTCTGGCCTTTGAAGAATGGGGAAGTCTTTCGTTGAGAGCTCAACCAACGTTGAACTACCATTCATGCGTGTCTCAGAACAAACCTTGGGAAGAAGGGGGAAATCTTCTTTAAAGAGTTCAAACAACTGTGGAGTACTTCCATCCATGTCAGTATCAGAACGAACCTTTACTAATGGAAGGGAGAAATCTTCATTTGAAGGCTCAGTCATCCTCGTATTACCATAAATGTCTGTCCCAGAATGAATCTTAGCTAATGGAGTATAGCCTTGCCCTTGTGTTGACTGTGTAGCCTTGCAATTGCATGAAAGAAGGGGGAAATCTTCGTTTGAGAGATCAAAAAGCCTTGAATCTGAATTATTACCATTATTCATGTCTGCCTCATATTGAACCTCCTCCACTTGTTGCTTTTTCGGAGGTGATTTGGGCAATGTATTGAGCTTTGTAGAAACATATCTCCTTGGCCTGTTTGCCCTTGCACGTATATCCCAGTAGGAATTATAGTTCTGCAAGATTCAACCATTTTTGGGATGATATAGTGTGTTATCATAATGTAGGTCCTATTTTGAGAAATTTCTCCATAAACACTTGTAGGGAGAGAAAATAAGGTACAATACACTAAGCTTCTCCATAAGTATAATTATCTTATGTACCTTAGCTTTTGGAGAAGTTAAATAAAAGAACTTTAAGTTATTCACAAAAGTTGATTTTAGTTTTATATGAGAAGTCCCATCTATTTTGCCTTCTATTTTCTTCTCTTATAAGTGTGTTTATGGAAAATTATCCAAACAAAACCTAAATAGATAAAGTTTGAGAAGAAAGACAATATACCAAGTCAGGGATGTATGTGCCTGTTCCCCGTGATTTTCCTCCTTCTTCAAGGCTATAAGTTGGATGAAGAAGTGTCTGTCCCGGGATGTATACATCGGTACCACCTTGGTAAAACATACTCCAGTTTTGCGGCCTTGACAGTCCAAGAATTTCGTCCTGAGAAGGCGATGATGGAGAACCGGAATGTACAGCTACTGGCATGGCATAGTTATGATACAGCTGAATATATTGTAAGCCACCATAGTAACTTTCACAATCTCCACGGAGAACACACTCTTCAGATCTTCCAGTACCAAATGGAGAAACCGGAATGTCAACATCCGCCCTTTCTCCTTTCCCATTCCGGTCCAAAGTGCTGAAGAAAAACTTTTCTAGTGCTGCACCCATGTTTTCTCCTGGAAGTGTGAGGATCTGCTTAAGTCTTCGAGCACCATAGGAGAGAGCAAATCTTAGTCGATGTAAACTGGCTGCAGGTAAGTAAAAAAGTAGGGAAATCAGTGAAAGAAAACTAGGAATTTTAGAAAGTAATCCATTACAATGTTAAAATATCATGAAACATCATAATCTCTAATTGTTTCAGCATTGTATATAAAACTTAAATAATCATGGGGGGTATATCAAACATTAATATCTGTAACATTCTCACCCGTATGCTGAGTTGTACTAAACTTGTAGATGTTTTTAAACCACCCCTAAACATCTTCCAAACTATAAAAACTTTCAAGGGAAAAATTGGGTTTACTAAATATGACATGTCATTTAATCATGTTATGACGAATGGAAGTTCAAGCAATTAAAGTGTGTACCATAATTCATATGCTATTTTTTTTCTTACCATGTTAAACGTGTGAAGTATTCATCAACTTTAGTAGGAAAAAAATTTACCTATGTTTACACTACGGCCTAGGTTGTTGTCATTTCTAAGCGGATCCAAGATGTTCATAAACTTGACGGGAAATTCATGGGTTGTCGGCTCAGATGCCTTTGCTGGAAAAGCGCACATATTCCTGTAATTTCTGAGAAACTCTTTCTGGAGCAAGAATTCACCCTGATCACATTCTGGTGTCTCTGCGACAAGCAAGTTAGGATATATCAAGGACTGGAGATTGAAAATGCATCCAACTGCTTAAGCATTGCAACACTTACCAGCAATTCTTGGAAGGGAGGATAAGGCTTTTGGACCCCATATACTAACATAATTATGGTCCCAGTCAAATGAACCATAGTAGTCCAAAAATATGTATAGCACCTGATAGTAGTAGTAATTCAATGGTTTTATTCTTGAAGTTTAAAAACAAATGCTGAAAGGTTGCAAAGAATATTATTGATAGACGAAGGGAATCACCTCTAGAGGACCTCGCACAGATGAATGAAAACGATTGATAATATACAAGACTAATATTTCTATCGCATATGTCGACAACAGGCCATGGTGTCCACCAAGAAGTCGACTCTCATAGTAGCACCAAGCTTTGATTAAGATAATACTGCGCTTGAAAATATGGTTCTTTCCAACAAGTTGGTCAACCTAAAAAATTATTTCAACTAACAAAATTAGCAAAGCCTGAATATAAACTGAAAAGGAAAAGTTGAGTTTGATCAGAAAATAGCTAAGTTTCTGTTTGTAATAATAATAATAAAAAATAATAGAAGAATTTCATTAGAAAGATAGAGAGATCAACAAGTTTTTGAAAGATGTTTCTTCACAAAATACAGATACATTATGAGGATAGAAAATTGATCATAACTATTTTACAAGAAAAATGGAGTCAGAATGCACAAGGGGCTTAGTAAACAATACGTTGAGACCACTAAAAAACAAGTTGACTGAATGGAGAAATGAATTTTTTTTTATGGTGTCCCTACATGACATCTGAAACACAGAAACAGAGGACATGGTAGGTAGAAAGCAAACATCAATTAGGGATGAATATTAATTAATACAAATACCTGCTCCAAGAAGCGTAGAGTATAAAGTCCAGCCATCTGATTGAAGGAGATGTCAACTGCTATATTTTTCACTGTGCATTTCAAAAGACGGACCTGGAGCCCATCATCCAATGATAAACATAAAAGAAACAGTAAGCCTAATAACAAAGCTGAGAGATATCCTTTGACAACAAGAACATTAAACACCACTTTCTAATCAGTTCAAACACAAAAGGATTAATTTTGAATATAAAAAAAATCAGTAACACAATTAAAGCAGTTTAAAAGAAAACTTTGTTTCTAAACCTGTGCCCGTATATCTTGTATGTCTTTTACTTGGTATTCAGGGTCATCTGCACTTTGAAGTACATTCAAAACTGATTGTGCCAAATCCTCCTCTGCATCTTCATGAGTGAGAGCAGTCAAGTCAATATCTCCATCTGGAAGATAGGTTTTTAATGGAACAGAACCAAATGGCAAGACCTGTAGGAGATCCACAACAAGGTAAAAATTCATCTATGTTCACCACTGTCATGATATAAACATAATTAAATCAACTCATAATTAGCAGCTAAAAATATTTCAACATTTAAGTAACAATCACTGTTAAAAAAAAATCTTTAAATCTGATATAGAAGCCTCTTCCTAATGGAAATAGCATCCAATTCCTGAAGTCAACTATGTTCACCCAAGAAATCAATTACCTGCAAAATACCTCACCATCATTTTAATTCAGACATGTCAAAGTTTTTAAAACTACATATCTCATGGTGTGGAGAAATGAAATTTATCAAACATGATGGGGGGAACTACAGGCCACACGTATTTTTAAATTCTGGCTATAAATTTTGGGCTACTTGGGTATAATGTGTGTACACATGCTTGTGATACGAAGCGCCAATTCATATGAATTAGAAAAAAAATAAAAATAAAACTGTTTTCTAGTGGTCAAGTTGAGAGGAAATGCACAGTGTAAAGGAAACTATAACAATAATGAAAATTTTAAGCCAGCCTGCAGGATTACCATTATATTTTATCATAAAAGTTGTAAATGATAACCTAGTTTTGCATGCCATGATTTTTATGTTCTTTTAGATATCTGCACGTATAAGGTATCGTAGAAATATAAAGTGGCAACAACATGGTTGTAAACCATGTTAAGACAGTAGAATAAATAATATAATCACATTCAAATCTAACTGCTCTTAAAAGAAAAATATGGAGGGAGAAAAAAAAGAAAACAAAAAATTTTCCACCAATTATGTCTACAGAAAATAAAAGAACATTCATAGCAAACATCAAAGATGATCTAATTATATACAAACCATTTAAAGCAGCAAATGCTTCAAGAACATCCAACTAATTATGAGGGCAAGAAAACAACTTCGTTGAATTAAGAAAAGAGCAGACGTAGAAAACAAACTCAGGCAATAAAAACTTACAAATACAATAATTGGACCAAAATATTCTAACCTCGGCTCCATAGTAACTTCTAATCAGCTTCTGAACATAATCAATAACATCCTTCCTGTTCACCTCGGACAATACATTTGGTTCAATTGTCCATAGTATCTCTTGTACCCTCTCTTCAGCCATCTGCCATAGTTCCTCATCAATTGATAACAGCTGGCTAGGCGAGGTTGATGATAACAAATTTTGAGGTCTATCATCCATAGCTCAGATATTAGAACTTAGACCTCTGGCAAAAGAAGAAAAAAAACTAGAGTAAGATAACAGCACAAACACAATATCTTGGCATTACCTTCAATCACTGCATGTACAACAGCAAAACAGCCCCTGAAACTGATATCCTTTTATATGAGAACAAAATTCATGAAAACAAAAAGAATTAGCCAAATTTCATTTGGGTGAACCTAGGATTAAAGATGGGACAATTATAAATAATTAGATTTAAAATAATTGAGCCAAGATTGCAGTGTCAAATTAATAATTCTGCATACAAAGAAATGGGAAATCAGCTGCTTGGCCACTGTGATAGTCCTCCGTGACCATTTCACACTCAGTGTGCTCTCAGAAACATCAATTTAACAAGTTGATATAAGCATTTAAAACCATTACGATGAATTGTCCAGAACTTTAAAGGTACATAAAATAACTGTGAGCACCCAATAAGCTGGTAATTTAATTGAAACAAACTCAAGTATTTTACACTTCAGGTACAATAATGGTGTCAAAGGTTTGAACTTCCACTAGGTACACCTATCCCCTCTCCTACCCATGCTTGTGACTCCAATATGTAATATATAGACACACAGACTAGTTAAAAAAAAAAAAGCTGAAACAGAATATGACAAATGTGATATAAGGATCTTTTTTGATTAAAGCAATAGCAAAATTTTAGCAAAGAGTGACGATTGTGAATAAATTCAACAACTGAGATGTTACCAGAAAGGGCAAAAAGTTTGACTCACTATTTTCAGTAAAATTTCTAGCTGATATGTTCTTTTTCTAATGCTATTCTATTATGAAGTAAAATCTTCTTTGCTAGCAAACTGATAAAGACCATTTAAGTCATGGTCTTTTTAAATGGTTTCTAGCAACACATTATTCAGTCTTCCTCTGCCTCTGCTTAATCAAGATTCTCATTTAGGGCTCTACTGATCCTCACATTATCAAAATCATCATCATCATCATCATCCTCATCTCCTCAATAAATGTTATTCTAACTTTTTTCCAAATACTAATCTACCCCAGAAATACTGTTCAACACACCAAGAAGAACACATCAAATGCAGGCGACAAGGTTCCTTGCCAAGGTTTCATATGTTAGAGCATGTCACAATTCACAAACACGGAACAGATATAGGGCACGCACAAATTCGAATTCAGCAATTGGGTAAAAAATTAAGCCCACAAACCCTATTCCCAACCCAATACCCGAACAAGTAAAAAGCTCGGTTGTTGATATAGAAAACGCTCAAGAACTCAACGATCAAAGAATGCATTGAACAACGGGGGACGAAAAAACCAATGACTCCAAAAAATAGTACTTTTGGGTCACAGATTTCTCCCACGAAACCCCCTTGCAGCCATACCTCAACTATCATCACCCACAAAAACACAGGTTCAGGGAAAGAGACTTTTACCAGAAAGAAAAAAAAAAAACAAAAGTTTCTAGCTTTTCCCTCTGTTGCAGCTGGCTCGAAAGATCTAAACCTCATCACCAACAACGCTCGGAGCAATTAACCGTTCAGTAGAAATTCCCTCTCCATCAAAGCCATTCACACAGTGGCCCACATTGGTAGCAGCTACTCATTCTCTGGTCGCATGTACCAGGATCTTTGTTCATTTATGTACGTATACATATATATAAATAAATAAATAAAACCACCTATGTTTTGAAAACCACGTTTTGACTTTATCCATGTTGACCCACGTGGACTATTTCTCACGGTTTTCAATCTTTCATCCCTTCACTTGGAAAACAGATATAATCTATTTTGTAAGGTTTAATTGTGTTTTTATTTTCTCAACTTTTTGGATAATTTAGTTTTTCAAATTTAAAAAAAATACAAAATTAAAAAATATATTTTATTTCTAAATTCTAATTTTAAGGAGTTACAACAAGTTTTTAAAAATTATTTTTAATCTTTTAAATTTAGTGCATAGAATTAAAATTATAATTTTACTAAAGTTATATTGTTCCAAATATATATATATATATATATATATATATATATATATATATATATATAATAATGAAATATAATCTCATTTTGTTTTTACTGGAATGTGTCACTTCTATTAGGTATATTTTACGAAAAAAAGTAGGTTGAAAGTTGAGAGTGATTAAATTAACTTATTATATCATGAATATTTGATAAAGTTATTTTATCGATGGAACGCATTAAATATAAAATGATAGAAATATGTATAAATTGCAATTTTAGTTTATTGATGAAATATTTTTAATTATCTTTGAAATTTGTAGCTTCTACTTTAAAGTAAAACATTTTAATTGTATTTGATGTTTTCTAATTTTATATTTTGTGTATTATATTAATATCTTAAATAGTTTTAACAAAATTTGAAATAACATAGAAAAAAAGTCAGAAGACATATAAAATACTTAAATATTTTTTAATCCATAAAATGAGGATATGTTTTATGTTTGATTCTTTTTTTTTTTTGTCTTATTTCAATTTTTATTTTGTTTGGGATAATATTTTTGGTAATAAAGTCATTGAGCTTAAAAAAAACATTTACAGATATTAAAAAAATAATAATATAGTTTTCTAACTTAAAAGAATTTGTAGGAAATAAAAATAAATAACACAATTATAAAGATAAAAAATATCATATTTTCAAGCACAAAAAAAATACATATTTACAAAATATATGTTAAACATTATACTACAATTGATGTACGAAAAAAATTACATATTTAAAAAAATTATATTTAAACATTACATTAAAAATTAATTAATAAATGATTAAAAACAAAAAATATATATAAATTGATTGATATAATGCTTTTTTATATTATAAATAGTTATTTTTTAGGATATTATAGACTATTTGACTTACAAATTGCCGTGGTTGTTTTTCACTTTAAACCTAATTATTAATATTAATATAATTTATTATTTTATTTGATAATTGAAAAAAAAATGTATATATATATATATATTAAAGTAAATAAAAATTGTATAGTTTTTTCTAAAATTCAATAAAGTAAAATTTCTCTTTCAAATAACTCTTAAATAAATCCATGATCATAATAATTTAACAGCATCATCATTATTAAGTAAGTTACTAATTCTAATTCAATTTGTAATAACTTAAATTTCTCATACAATATCCTCTTTTATACACGTCATCGCTCGTTTATAATATCACATAAATAGTCTATACATGCAAACGCTAATAGAGACTCGTTACCAAAACAATATATTATTTTTTAATTTAAGCAAAAAATTATATCAATATTTATTTTTATTATTTACTTTTGATGGATGATGCCATTCACTAAGTTGATACTTTCAATAATATCATTAATGAATTTATTAATTTTAATGACGTTATTTACTAATACGATACTTTGAATGACATTCTTTTTCAACAATTTAAATTATGATATTATTATTATTATTATTATTATTAAATGTGATGAATAAAATTAAATTCAAAAAATAAAAAAATCACATGAAAAAAAAACTGAAACATTTCCTAATATATGTATTAAAAAGTTATTTATGTTAAAATAAATGATCATGTATCAGTATAAACATTTTTAAGTTTAACGTTAAAATAATAAAATTAACAGTACAATAGTTAAACCAAATATTGTAATAGTAAAAATGTGGTAAGAGTAATAATAAGATATCATATATCATTCTCAATATTTTATGTAATAAAAGAGTAAATATATGAAAATTGTATCTTATGCTATGATAAAGTTAATCTTATGAATATATATATATAATTGGTTACAAACTAAAACCTGACAATTAAACCTAAGACTAGAATTAAATTCTAACATCCCTTAATTCTAGTATCAATATTCAAAATCCCTAGTTTTTCTCTAAGTATTTTGAACTTCACCTTCTTCAAAGGTTTGGTTAGGATATCAGTTAGCTGGAGTTGTGTAGGACAGTAAACCAGCTTTAACTTTTCATTGTTAACCTGATCTCGTATGTAATGGAAGCGAGTCTCAATGTGCTTGCTTCTGCCATGTGAAACCAAATTATTTGTAAGATTTATAATTGACTTGTTATCAACAAGCAGCTCAATAGGTTGTTCTAATTCAACTCCCATATCTGTCATAACTGAGTTTAACCATATAGCTTGACAAGCTCCATTTGATCCCGCTATATATTCAGCTTCACATGTAGACAGAGCCACCACAGATTGCTTCTTGCTCCACCAAGAAATTGGTGCTCCCATAAACATAAACACACACCCTGTAGTACTTCTTCTGTCCACACTATCTCCACACCAGTCTGCATCAGAGTAACCAACCAGCTTTGTCTGTATTTCTTTATATTTTGGAAATAATACTCCAAAATCTAATGTTCCCTTTACATATCTCATCACCCTTTTGGCTGCTAGTATGTGTTTCTGCTTAGGTTGCTGCATGAATCTACTTAGGATGCCTACTGCCAAGCAGATATCTAGCCTGTTATTGCAGAGGTACCTAAGAGACCCAACCACCTGTTTGTACATAGTCTCATCTACCTCACTTTCTCCATCTTCATTTACTATAACTTTTCCCTCAGCTGGTGTTACTGCTATGTTGCAGTCCATCATTTCATACTTTGCTAGGATCTCCGCAGCATACTTCCTCTGATGTAGAATCAATCCTCTCTCAGTCTCCACAAACTCCATGCCTAGGAAGTATTTTAGTCTTCCTCAATTAGTCATTTCAAATTCTGTCATTAACAACTTCTTAAATTCTTCTATCTCGTCAATATTGCTTCTTGTAATGAGCAAGTCATCCACATATATACACATTAAGACTAGATCAGTCCCTCTGCCATACTTCACATATACTCCATGTTCCACTGAACATTTCTTAAACTCTTGGCTTAACATAAAAGCATCTATGCTTCTGTTCCAGGCCCTAGGTGCCTGTTTAAGGCCATAGAGAGCCTTCCTCAGTGATACACCTTATGCTCAACACTTTTCTTCACAAATCCAGGAGGTTGTGTAACATAAACCTCTTCTTCAAGTGGGTCATTTAGGAATGTAGATTTGACATCCATCTGAAATAAAGGCCACTTTCTCCCATTTGCCAAGGCTACTACCATCCTTATTGTCTCAATTCTGGCCACAGGAGCAAATACTTATGTGTAGTCCAACCCTTTCTTTCGTAAAAATCCTCTCACCACTAACTTTGTCTTCCTTTTGTTAATACTGTCGTTTGGATTCAACTTTAGTTTGAAAACCCATTTCAGATCAATGGGTTTTTTGTTACTGGGTAAGTCAGTCAGTTCCCAGGTGTTTGTCCTCTCAATGGAGTTTAATTCTTCTAACATGGCTTTCTTCCATAA